TCTTTACCTGTGTTTACACCCGTCTACAGGTGTTTACCTGTGTTTACACCTGTTTACACCTGTCTACAGGTCTTTACCTGTGTTTACACCCGTCTACAGGTGTTTACCTGTGTTTACACCTGTTTACACCCGTCTACAGGTGTTTACCTGTGTTTACACCTGTTTACACCTGTCTACAGGTCTTTACCTGTGTTTACACCCGTCTACAGGTGTTTACCTGTGTTTACACCTGTCTACAGGTGTTTACCTGTGTTTACACCCGTCTACAGGTGTTTACCTGTATTTAAACCCGTCTACAGGTGTTTACCTGTGTTTACACCTGTCTATAGGTGTTTTCTCCTGTCTACAGGTGTTTACCTGTGTTTACACCCGTCTACAGGTGTTTATCTGTGTTTACACCCGTCTACAGGTGTTTACCTGTGTTTACACCTGTTTACACCTGTCTACAGGTCTTTACCTGTGTTTACACCCGTCTACAGGTGTTTACCTGTGTTTACACCTGTCTACAGGTGTTTACCTGTGTTTACACCCGTCTACAGGTGTTTACCTGTGTTTACACCTGTCTACAGGTGTTTATCTGTGTTTACACCCGTCTACAGGTGTTTACCTGTGTTTATACCCGTCTACAAGTGTTTACCTGTGTTTACACCCATCTACAGGTGTTTACCTGTGTTTACACCCGTCTACAGGTGTTTACCTGTGTTTACACCTGTCTACAGGTGTTTACCTGTGTTTACACCTGTGTACAGGTGTTTACCTGTGTTTACACCTGTCTACAGGTGTTTACCTGTGTTTCTGCTCATATTAAATGTAACAGTAGTGTGAAACTGTAAGCTGAGCTCTGAGGTTTCGGTGAACTCACCTGTCTCCAGGAGTGAATCCATGTGGAGCTGAGTGAGTCTGGTTCTGAGTCTGGGTCTCGTAAGGCAGGTYTATAGTCTGTGTTCTGGACCAGGTCCAGGTGGCTCAGCCTGGACCTCCTGTCTCTGGACTCTCTGGCCTTCAGGTAAAGGTACTTGGGGGGTTTGAGGCTCCTCCAGGACTCCCTCCAGCACAGCCGAAACACGTCCACCTCCACCTTCCGTTTGGGCCGGCGCTGGCGGGGCGAGGCAGACCTCCTGGGGGGCGGCGGCGCCGGGGGAGGAGCCTCAGCTTTGGGTTTGGGAGGCGGGGGGACGATTTTAAACCTGATTTTAGTCTTTTTCTCTTCTTCGGCTGATCGGCTCGTCAGCCTGCTGAACTCTGACTCTTCGGCTGTCGTCTTGTCTCCGTTGGTGTCGAGTGACCAGTGATAGTTCCACTTAGAGAACAGACTGAGGAGCAAAACCAGTAAATCGTTTAATTAATGATTTATGTGAAGAAACAGACGTGTTCTGTGCAAAAGTCTTCATCCTGTCATTTCAGCCTGTTAAACTTGTTTTTATATATTATTTTTTAGCTTTTCTTCAAATTTTGCCTCCAGTTTTTGTATCTTGGACTCTGAAAACCATTTTGTTTGGTTTGAATTTAGTTTTTCTTCATCTAAAACTAATTTAACATCATTAAAAGTGAAAACCTGAAACATGGCAGCTTCAGAATGAAGCAGAAATTCATGGATTTTTGTGTTTTTCATTGTGAGTTCGTTGCAGACGTTCAGCAGGTTTGAGTGAAATGTCTTAAAAAGATTTAAATCTCACACTTTCAGGGAGCTTCTCTCCTTGCGCTCAGCCTCCTGTTTGCACTGATCCGCCTCGTTCTGAGCTCGTCTCTCCCACTGGTCCCTCAGAGCTCCGTTACCGAACGACCTCTGCGCTCGCTGCYTGGACATCATGGTTTCTCCTGCAGGACAGGAAGACGTTCGTTTCATCTTTAAACTGTTGGTGGTGAAAAATCAAGAGTTTTTACTTTAAAAGCAACAATACCTGTTTTTATTCTGCACACATCATAATAAAGGTCAATAAATTAAAGTGCTGATTGTAAAAAGCTTTCAGGCAGCAGCTGAGCCTGCAGACAGACAGAGCTGCTGATGATTTTATAACCCTGGACTGTCTGACTTTAACGTCTCATTTCAGAAATATGAAGCAGTTAAAATAAGGAGCTGACTTCACTCCTCTTTCACCACCAGGTGCTTTTAGACGCTCTTATTGTGAAATCCTTCAACGAGCTCAACTTTCTGACAAAAACAAACAAGYATTTTAACTTTAATGAGACGTAATTTATTCATTTATTTATTAAATCAGACTAATTGAGTCAGAACCTCAGATAAATTTATTCAAACTTTTAATTATTTAACTCTGAAAATGTAAAAATATGACTGAATCCTGCTGATAAAAATATTCTAAAACGTAAAATTTAATTCTTAAACAGTGAAGATGAAAAACGTTTCTCTCATTCAGTTTAGTTTATTAATAAATAATAATAATAATAATAATAAACCAAAAAGATATACAAATCAATAATAATAATAATAGTATATTATATAATAATAATTAACCAATAGTTCAACATTTTCTCAGAATTTTTGTACATTTAAAGTAATAGAAACTTAAAATGCAGTCATTTTATTGTGAAAATCCCCATTTTCAGCACACTGATTTAACAATCTGCTGTAAAATATAACTTTATGGTTCAAAGATATAAAACCAGATCTGAGTTTTTATGAGCTGAACAACGAAACTTTAAGTTTCTTTTTAACAAATATTTTTATTTTCCTTTTTGATATCGTTGAGACGTCACATGACCCCGAGCTTACACGTTAGCTTTTAGCTTAGCATTAGATGAAATTATTATGTTAAGTTGTAAAAAAATGAGCTGTTTATGAAATATTCTGTGACCTAATTATGGAAAGAGAAACATATTTTAGTTGAAATGAATAAAAAGCTGAAGTGGACCTACCTGACATGTTTCTGTTTCTGATCAAACGAAACTTTGTTTCCTGTTTTTCAGCTTTTTCCTCTTCTTCCTTCGGCTGTTACTTCTCCCTTCGGCTGTCCTGAATGTCTGCTCWCACCCTTTCGGCTTCCCTCCTTTTGCTATTTTTACATCACAACACATCCAGAGCTGCGGCGCTAATTTTAGCTTCGGCTCGCAGCCGAAGCAGCAGCCGAGAGGAGAGACGGGGGGGTCGCAGCTAAACGTTTGAATCTTTGTTCAACAGGTGCAACAAATAAACAAACAAACATTACTGCCACAGGTGGCAGCAGCAGCTGCTGTAGCACTTCCTGTTAATCAACTAATCACTGCAAACATCTGTTCAGACCAAAGATGGGTTAATTTTTTTACTAAACACAGAGATGTTCTGTTAGCAAAATATCTCATAAACTACAGAACTCATTGGATGAACTTTAACTTGAGTTAACCTGATAAAAAACAAATCAGATTATTTTACAAATACTGATTCAGAGGTGGTAGTAGCTGAGAGTCGTCACCAACATGACCTCACTTTCTCATTTGAATCGTTGGCTGAGAGAGAATCTCTGAGTTGATACAAAACGACCTGAGTTCACTGAGAAAATGACAAACGAGGAACAGCTGAGAGGAAAACCAGACCTGAGGCCTGGACAGGAAGTCGGTCTGAGCCTTCAAAATAAAACAGGAAAACTAGAAGATGTCATAAACATCCTGTCAGGAAACTAAAACCATTCTGAACAATTTACTGAACAACAAACATGATAAAAATATTTTACTGCAAGAACGACAGCTAAAATTTGCAGAACAAGCTGAAACTTGTCAAAGCTAAAAGAAGCAAAAGAAAAAGATAAAAACAGCTAAATTTGACCAGAACTAAAGACCAAACATATCAAAGTTAAATTATTTAAAGTATCAAAAGACTAACAAAAAGTTAAAGGTATCAAAGGGCTAAAAAAAATTATAAAAGTATCAAAAGGCTAAGGAAAAGCTAAAATTAGCAAAAGGATTACTAAAAGCTAAAAGTAGTAAAAGGCTAATTAAAAGCTATAAATAGCAAAATGCTAACTAAAAGCTAAGCATAAAAAAGTTTGCTAAAAGTTGTGAAAATATGGTGGAAACTCAAAGCAACCAAAGTAGCAGAACAGTAGCTAAAAGCTAAATGTAGCAGAAACAGAGCGTAGCTGAAGCAGACATAAACGATCAGATCTCAACATGTTTCAGAGGATAAAATATGGGATATCTGGAGAAGAATAAGAGTTAAAGTAAAAGTCGCAGCAGGCCTCAGATGAACGAGCCGAAGGTTTTAATGTTTGAGCAGCTAAAAAGGTCAAAGTTTGTAGAAGTAGCTAAAACTCAAAGTTGCCCAGATGTCTCCAGACAACTTTATTAGACTTATGTTTCTTTTTGTCACATTTCTTCTCATTTTGTTCAACAGAATATTTATTTTCTTATGAGCCGAACTTCTGCTGTTATTTCTACGTGTTTGAGCAGATCATTTCAGGCTCAGCAGCAGCAGCAGCAGCAGCAGCAGCAGGGTTCCTCAGCTCAGTTTTCTGTTAAGTCACTCAGCAGCAGGAGGAGCAGGAGGAGGAGCAGGAGGAGGAGGCCCTCGTCATCTGAAACTCCAGCCTCGGCTCAGTTTGCTGCTGAAAGCTGCAGAACAAATCTCAGTCCTGTTTTTACAAACAAACCTGTTTATATTTTTATTTACGTGACTGAACGTCTAAATAAAATGTTTGTTTGTTTGTTTGTTTGTTTTTTTGTTTGTTTGTTTGTTTGTTTGTTTGGATCAAACCAGCTGAAAATACCAGAGTAAAAATACTCTAAACTGAAGTCATTCAAAGTATGAATAAAGTATTTTGGGGTATTTTTAATAGTTAATTAAAACACAGAAGCTAAAAATACTGGAAAGTGCCAAAAAGCCACTTTGATGGACGGAGTTTTATTTAGTGTTTATATTAAATCTGTTTCTTATAAAACATAAAGTCGCTGCTGCCACCTGCTGGTCAAACTGTGTCAGGACTCTGTTTCACTGGAAGTCTCTCCTGTCAACAGAAACACTTTGAAAACATTAAACTATAACATTTTCTCACATTGATTTAATCTAAAACAAACAATATGTTTTAAATCTTTATTTCAAAACCAAAATGTCCCAGTTTTAAGTCTTTGTTGCACTGATAAAATATAATCTTAATTTCATGATTAACTATCATTTATTTCAGTGAATTAATTATAATTATGATCATATTTACTCTCTCTCTCTCTCTCTATATATATATATACATACACACATACATACACACACATATATATATATACATACATACATACACACATATATATGTGTGTATGTATGTATGTATATATATA